AATAAGACACAATTCAAGTTGTCGAGTTTTTTGAGTTATTGCGACTTGACTGTAGATTGTTTTTAAAATGTTAAGATACGGTTAAGATTTTGTTAGAAAACAAACGAGTGAATAAAAATTGCTAGAAAACGATAGAAAATGGTTAGGAATTTATTACCAACGTGTTCTTAACGTTTGACTCGTATAAAGGAGGGTTTCCACTATACACGTTTGCTGTGTACCTACACGAAAAATGTTCAACTATGTCCAACTACACGGTATCATGGTTAATCGTGTGGTAACTGATCCTAACCAACCAATCTCAGCTATGGATTTGTATGCACGTACACGCATACGTGTATAGTGTATATGTATATTATAATATATATGTAAATACCAATACATAATAAAATGCGCCTACAGACATTAGGCCCATTGGTAATTCAAAAGTGGTATTCTTGTTAATGTAGGGTACTCCTCGTAGCTAACTCTTCTTAATTTGTGCAAACAATAAATTATAATATATTTTATTCCTACACGACGATATATTATGTTAAGGTGTATCCGTGAAAGATATTCGTATAATTTCGTATTGTTTTTAAAACGCATTATACCTACCATTTATCCTACCTACAGACTTAAGAGTTGATTCTAAACCTAAACATTTCTAGCTCCGCTTACACTGAAATATAATAATAATATTATTATTTACCTGTGGGGCCTATATACCTATTACCTACATTTTAATAATACTGTATTATCACTTTTTATCTGCTAAAATAAGTATTATAATAGCCAATTGCTATATGATATATCAAAAGAAAACGCTGTTAAACATACATAGTATTGTAATACATCTACCTATATCGAGTATAAATTTGTTTGCTTAAAAATTATTGTAGTTTCGACTGGTTGTTTTTCACGCATTTATTTACTCAACACACGTTGACAGTACCTAAGGATAGTAAAAAAAAAACTTAAGTAAATTTATTTAGGTCATATGTACCATGACGTATTGTATAGTAGTGTCTCTATATTATAGTAAGAGCCAATAGTTTTTACTTGTCATCCGCTATACGTTCGCCTGTATAAACTGCAATGCAGTGATACCCCCCCCCCACCGGCCTCCTAGATACCTATATAAACATCTGATAACTAATATATATTATATTAATATATTCTGTAGCGGAGCCCCTTACTTATAATAATGTATTTGGAAGATTAGCTGGACCCCCTCCATGAAAAATTCCTAAATATGCCACTGTTGTGGTGGGTCGGCAAGCTAAGGAGAAAAGATCGGTGGGCCACTCAAAATATAATGGGTCGGTCTTGAGTGTCTGGCAGTAATTTTAGTTTTATATGATAATAAGGAATTAATACAAACATTAGTAGAAAATATAATATAATTAAATTATCATAATATTTTCTGCTATATCGAGTTTAAGTTCAGTAGTTTAAAAATGTGGCTCGAGTGGTTATTTTTCGAGCCTGAAACGTATTTTACAAAAATTAAATTTATAGATGTGTGGCGCCCTCTTAACGTAAAAATATTTACTTGACACGTTGACCGTCCAATATAGCAATACTATCAGCTAATGAAAATACCGAAAATACATAATTTAAATTTTGTGCTGCTATCTATGAAGTAAAATTCTAAGTAATCGATTTGTGAAAAATTGTACGACTTGAAAAATAGGACATAATATGTCATATTATTATTATTAACGTCATCCCGAATTTTAGATTCTGAGTGAAACGACGATTGATTTTACAATGATGTGTGATTTTTTTTTAGTTTTTTTTTATTTTTTTTGTGTCTGTGTACACGATAAGTAGTCGAAATAATGCTTCGATTTTCGACTTCAGTATCTTGTTCGATTGGAAAGTGAATATCGTTGGTGCATTGGGGAGGTCAAAATTTAAAATTCCCAGTAATTTTCAAAAGCGCCAAGAAAAACAAAAGAAAAATTAAGGAAAAACGGGAATTTTTACGCAAAATCTGTTTTCGAGAAAATCGATTTTGGTTTTTGGTGTAACTTTAAAACAAATGACCGTAGATACATGAAATTTTCAGTGGTTGTTTATATTTGCATTTTCTATACACGATAACATTTTCAAAATATTTTGATTTCTTTTGAACTGTTTAGGGACATTTTCAGTTTCCAATTTTATTAGTTTTTATTTTTATGAATATCAATAAATATGTATTTGTTGAGTAAAAATACTTGAAAATTTAATACAAGCCTCCTACTATATTGTTTAAATGACAGATTAAAAATATTAAAAATCGTAAGTCATAGTTTTTTTTTTTAAGCATTTAAAGTTCAAAAAATGACAAAATATGGAAAAATCACGAAAATTTGCAAATTATTTCGAGTTAGAAATTCATAAAAATTTTTGTTTTTAAATCTAAGATATGAAAATGTAATACAAGATTACTCATAAGTTTCTCTACCTTAATCAATAAAAAAATCTCTACCGGACAGTCAAATTAAATTTTTATGAGCGTTTGAAATTCAAATTTTTACAACATTGGATATTCACTCGATTTCTCATGTAGCGATTTCCTTATTTTGTTGTAATTCTAAAACAAATAACTGTAGATACATGAAAATTTCACTGAATGTTTAAATTAGCATTTTTTATACACCATAAAGTTTTGAAAATATTTTGACTCTTTTTGAGTTGTTTACGGATATTTTCAGTTTTATCTGTTGGGCCAAAAAGTGTAAAAATTTAATACAAGGCTACTGATATATTGTTACAATAGCAATTGAAAAATATTAAAAATACAAAGGCACAATTTTTTTTTATAAGCATTTAAACATCGAATTCTGACAAAATTTATCAAAATCTCGAAAATTATCAATCATTGTAATTAATAAATTATAAAATGTTCAGTTTTTATAGCTAAGGATTGCAAATTTAAAACAAAGGTTCTCATAAATAGTTCATACTGTAACCAAAAAATCTAAAAAATATATGAACACAGTTATTTTTTACAGACATTTTAAATTCAAATTTGGACGAAATTACATATTAAAATCAATATTAACGATCTTTGTTTTTGTTGCAATTTAAAAATATTATTCGGGGATATATGAAACTGAAAAATAAAAATATTGTGGCCTATCCATACAATCTATCATGGTATAAGGAATAAGAAGTATGCTCATGATAAGACTGCATATTTTAAGGAATTTATTCATAAATTCCAAATAATTTAATACCATAGATATATATATATAATGTCTTAAACCTAGACTGACATAGGTACCGTCTTCGCTCAGAATCGTTTTTCTTATACAATGATATTGTATCATTCAATTCAAATTTAATACCATCCATTATACAGTGACCCACTTGTAACCTACTGTACAGCAGAGCGACATCCACTTACCCACCTTTTTTTTGTTTTAAATTATCCGTTCCAAATGTGCCCCCTGAGGTTTATTTACATATTCCTAGCACACTCCTCGATCCGATATAATTTTTTTATTTCTTTCGCACCATTTTTATAGAATTATCGTAAACTGGACCCATATTTTATTTTATTTTTTATTTTTTTACCACTTGAACCATAATATTATATAATAATAATATCATAATATACGATAGGTATAAGTACATGGTATATATTATTATTGGGTATGCAAAGACATAAATATCGTTAAAAATCTGACTGTAGCCATTTTCCTCCTAAAATTTTCCCCCACTTGAGGACTAATAAAATTAACAATACATTTCAAAGGTGTACCTACATGTATTTTAGATAAATCTACTAGAAAATATTATGGTTGGTTTATCACTCCCAGTAGAGAGGCTCGCCGGTCTTGGTCTAATATTTTATTTTGAGTCATAATATTATATAGTCTTCGGTGGTTGAGACGACTTATGTCTTCGTAGTTATCAAGTACCTGAGTAATTGAATTAGTCTGTTGATCCAGTTTTATAACATGATTTCTCTATATATTAGGTACTATTTTAATGACAAACACAATGCTATTAATTAGCCCAAATAAATATTAACGCACTTGAAAACATTTTTTTACAAAATAATTCGAGATAATAACAAAACATCGTTTTAATCAAAATAAAAAACTCTATTTTTTTAGTATATTACAAATGATTAGGCAACAAAATTAATTGAGACCATAATGATTATCCGAATTAATTAAAAATGCATAGTTACATTTTCATTTACCTATTGTGATACCTGAGACTTGAATTAGTACAACTGCACCTGCTCGATCACAGTAAGTAGGTTTTACAGACATATTTAAAATATTATCGAATATTCATAACCTTCATAAGTCAGTTTTTTTGCACTGAACGTTTAAACCTAAAGTTAAAACTATCCATCTGCATCTTCGTTTAGAATCGTTTTCCCGATATTACTATGGACGATCCACGGGTGCATCATTTTGATTTTTTTAGTTGATATAATAATTTGTATATTTTACTATTTAGTACGTTCATAACTGTATTATTACATAATAGCGCTATAAGATGCTTGATTTCCATTGTTCTAGTTTGTATACAGTTTATTGAAATATATTATAATAGTAACACCGTAGTAACGCCAGAAAGAGTGAGGATAAGGGCTGAAAAAATAAACACGTCAGAGACTTTAATATTATTCATATTGTTATATAATATTGTTCCAATGTGTATTGTGTATACTTTAATAATTAATATTTATAACTTACTATAATATTAATACGATAGGACATATAGTGCTGTGTGACTGTTTATAATAATAATATTCGATTGCACAATATTATACAGATATACAGCTGTGAATAACGCATACATATTATATAGTTTATTTATATGATTTCGACTGGGACGGCTGAAGAGAATATAAACACGTCAGAGACTTTAATATATTATAAATATTATATTAATTTAAAGTGTATACTGTATAATATTAATGATAACTTACTTTGATAAAATAATAGGACTTATTATAATAATATTCGGCCGTACAGTAAAACGCATAGGTACGTCATAATACAATATTATTTTATTTGTTTATGACTTCGCTTGGAGCTCGAAGCCTTGAACTTTTCTCGGGCTCCATAAAAATATATTTCTGTCACTTCATTCTCCGTGGTGGATTGCACGAACACTCCTTTCGGGAATAACGTGCACTCGCCCACCGGTGACAATATTTTCCCGGTGCTTCGCTCATTCGAGTTCGACACCGACTGCGCGGACTTGATCCACCGGTCCACGGGCTGCGTGCGAAACGCTCTGGGAAACAGAAAGTTCATCCAGACTTGGAACAGGCTGATGTATTCGTAGGACTCTTCTTTGTCGTCGTCGCTGACATTGTAGTCATCTTCGGAGTCACTGCTACTCGAGGAACTGTTATAGAGGTGAAAAAATTCTAAGTCTCGTTTGGGATGCACTATGGGTCAATGCATTATTGTACACGAGTTCTGCAGGTATAATGGACAGTTTCAAAATGTATACTTTTGACAAAGCCAAACGTTTGTGCATCGGTGTGCGCCAAATCCCATCGTTTTTGCACTCAAACATTAATTAAACTATCTTCAAAACATAACGGGAAACTATTGAAAACAAATCCTATGTTGAAATGTACACTTTTACCTTTTAAACAACCATAAATTAACTGGAGGACCATAATTTTTTTTCATATATAATTACAAAATATTAATATTAAACTTTAAACTTATATATAAGTAAATACTAATTACTAATTAATATAAAACTAGAAAACATAATACTGTTTAGATAACGCCTGGTAAGACGTTAAATCTCGAACATTAAAAATATTAATATGAAATTATAGTTTTCCAATATGCTTATAGTTATACCGGGTAAAAGTGAAAATTGCAAAAGAAAGTTTTTTTCAAAAGCACTCATTTTATTTTGTCGACTACTCAATATGACGAATAAGACGATGGACATTTTTTTTGAACTGATGTATAATAATTTGGCTTTGTCGAAAGTTTGAAGTTTGAAAGTGTGGTGATGTAGCATTGAAATGGACCGTTATGCACTTTTAATATTATTATGTACTGCAAATATTTCCACCCAAATTTGGATAGTAAATGGTCTGAAGAATAACCGGATATTTGCCACAGGGCTGGTGCTAGATTTTGCGGGGCCCTGGACATAATATTTGTCGAGAAAAAAATACTCACTCAATAAATAAACCAACTCTAATTTAATTGTATGTAATTTTTCGAAGGAATAATTAATGATTGTTTAAAAATAAAGATCTATACCTACCGTTTAAATAGTAAAAAATTACTATAGTTCAATATTTTAATATTCGTATTTCAATAAAAAAAAGATACTCGCAAATCGGACTACCGAAGCCTGAACGAAGTGCACTTACTTATCGTACGAAATTATTGTTCTGACATTATTCCTTCCGTTTCTTGAGGTGCTTTTATATGGATCACCATTCTTATATCCCGATCGCTTGATTGGTTTAAATTCCTTACGTGTTATGCGGAAATGATCAGAATTAGAACACATATTTCAACGCTTTAACGCCGCAATCGCATATAAACAAATATAATATGTTAACGTCGTTACGATCGACAAAATTAATAACATACTGTTTTATTCAAACAGATGATTTTAAAACGCTTAAATATTATTTATTAATTGTTTTTACAAGTAAGTAAAATACATAGATATATTATTTTTTTTTCTCAAACGAATGTATTGAATAATAAGCAATACCGTAAGCAATACATGTTTTGTTAAAACCAACTGGTTGTATTATTTTCTTTGGCAGGAAAACAAAATAAGTATAGTATAAGTTCAAAGTATTAGTATAAGTAAAGTATACTTATTTTGTTTTCTAAAGTATACTTAGTATACTTATTTTGTTTTCTAAAGTATACTTAGTATACTTTAAAATTGTTCATAATTTTACAATGTAACAATATAATAAATTATGGGCACCTATGTCTTATAGATAGCAATTAATGCTAAATAATAAACATCAAACATTATTATTATTTTAAATTTAAAATGTATGTTATGGTTTTAAGAGTTTGTGTGTATAAAGGTTGTGTAGCTTTTATGTTTAACTATAAATTATTACTTATAAAAAGCAACTTCTATATGTTACACGTTATAATATGTTAAAAGAAAGTGGCATCCACATGCGTTGTCTCTGTCTTATTAGTGAGTAACATACCAAATGTTATGCTCAGCAGATCACGTTTAGCTCGGTTTGTTTAAAAATTAAGTGAATTGACTTCTTATAAAATTTAAAAGGCAAGATTATTATCTAGGGAATCACATATTAAAATATTCATAACTCGCTTTAAAATTAAAATATAATAAAAAAAAGATAATATTCTTAATTTAATTTTTATTAGAGATCAATTCACTCTAATTTATAAACTAACGGAGCTAAACGTGATCTTCTGAACTTAAAATGTGCCAAGTTGAGCAATTGTAGGACGAAACAACATTATGTGGGTGCCACGTCCTTTTAACAGTAGATCTTTCAATCTTTGTTTCAAACTATATTATTACACACAACTATTTCCACACGTTCTCTCCAATCTGAATACAACTTATTATATTATATTATGTGGTAGATATTAAGTGGTACCTACTACCTATTACAGTAATTAGTATGGATTTAAAATTTCATGACATTTTTTTTCTTGAAATATTTCATTCGTGTGAAAAATAAAAAATATTATTGTGAACGATTTTAATGACGCCTCTTTTGATGTCTACGACCTACTTCTTACTTGAGGTGTGTAAATGTGTAATATAGAAAATGTACAATCAACAGTTTAGTTTTGTTAGTTTAATAATTTAATAATTAGAGAGAATTGACTTATTATAGAACTTATGGTAAGAACATTATCTGTGGTCGGATATGTCAGTCTTTTCCGATAATTCAGATTTGTATGCGACTTATGATAGATTTTAAAATGTGCAATTTTATATACGTAAAACTCATTAAAAAAATTGTATTATAGTTCAAAACATACATAATATACGAAAACAGATAATTTACAAACCATTCAGTTTCACAATAAAGGTCAATGCACTATAATTTTTAATCTAACGAAGTTAAACTTTAACAACTGATGAGTGTACATTTTCTATGTTAAATACTTGTAAGAAGGAGAATACAAAATAAAACAATAATTATATTTTTTGAAGTTCTATTCACACGAACGAAATAATTCACGAAAAAATGTGTACGTAATTTTAAATACCTAGGTACTAATAATTATTGTCACATCCTCATTAACGCGCGAATGTGGTCTATCGGTCAATAATAATAATATAAAATATTATTAATTTCCAGCTGCCTTTGTGATGGACAAGACGGTAAACATTGTGAAATACGGATTTCGGAATTGGGAACGCCATCTAACGGACCAAAACGTCATCGGCCTACCGTAGAAACTTAGCAAATACCAAATTCACGGCGCTGAGTAGGTGACCGCTGCAGTCGGGTCGTGTGTTTGTTACCGTCGAGACATTGTCGAAGGCGCCTGACATTTCAAATCATCGAAAGTAAGTACTTCACTTCCACCATAAGGCATAAGCAGGGGCACATCAAGAAGGATTTGGGTACAAAGGGAAAAGTTTCACCAGGCGGCTAGAGTGGTAAAACATTTCTTCCATCAGTATTGTAATGACTCAAAAATTACGATAAAAATAAAATACGACGCCTGTCGATAAATATATTAAAATCGTAAGACTAAGCAATTACCTTCCTCCAGGTGATCGGAGGGCTCTCGAGATCGTGTTTTCGAGAATTAAATCAAATACACTATACAACACAATTGTATAAAAAGCATGCACAGATAATATAATAAATGCAATTAACATAAAATATTATATTAATTGCCTTACCTGATCCGCAGTCAATTGTGAATTATTTTGTAAGTGTTTTAATAGACACAGAGTAATATTTTTTTAAATTATAACTCGAAATAATAAACGCACTGATTATTGCTCACATAAGGAGTCCAGAATGTCGCTCGTTGAAATCGGTCTTTTTAGACTTTTTTTGGAGGTTGTTACTCTGTGAATGGTGCTCATGCACTGATTTAAGGGATGACGAGAAGATGCTGACCAGAGAGTGGTAGGCGGCTTTATCAAAAGGTTATCGTGAGCTTGGGAACTAGATTATTCTTTGGCGGCAGATACCCTTTTTTTCCTTTCCTTTTCTCTGGCGGCATCATATAATAAAGTCACACACCCTGCGTTTTACCGTTATGAGTGCGTTCCGATATCTTAATTGTCGTTAATAATGGTTTTATTTGATGTGACCGATTTCTACAAACGACAGTCTGACCGTTATTTATTAAGTATTCTGTAAGATTTTAGTTTATTATAATGGTGTGTGAGCATATCATTACAGTATCCACTAAAAAGTTGCTCCAAAAACGTATTATTTCAGGAAACAATAAAACCGTTTCAACAATAAATTAGTAACAACAATAACACGTCGCCAGTAACTGAAATAGCTCACTTCCCGCCCTTAAAAACACAATATACTGTTTTGTCAATCCTGCACCGAAAGTTAAGTTTTCGATGACAGTCACTCACCAAAGTGTACGGTAAAGCGGAAATAGAAAAATTGATATTGACTTTTTACTATTATCTGCAAGAGTATCACACATGGATTTACTAACACTTAACATAAACATATTATTTTACATAATACAAACTTATGTAAATAATGATGAATTATTAGAAATATTTTGAAATTAAATATTATTTGTATACAAATAAAAGCACTCGTTCAAGTAAATATATATTATAATAACATGGTAACAAGTTCAATATTGTTATTTACAGTGTCAAAGGCATATCACTAGATCTGGAAAAATGTTTTCTACTATCAAGATTCAAGAGCATCATATATTCATATATTTATAAATTGATATCATTAACAACTCAAGTCATTTTATAATTCCAAATATAAATATTTATATAAGTACTTAGCATATTTTAAAATTTATATTTTTAAAATTCAAATAGCATAGAATTTAAATAAGCTTGGACTGCATTTCATTATTAATTAGATAAAATATTGTACATAGTATAAACATTGTACATTTTAGCTAAATATTCATCTTTAATCTATCATTTGTGATCATTTCCGGATACGGAACATAATATTATAATCAATTCTAATATCAGTATTCCGTATGCATGAAATGAATATTTCTACGAAACCAATATAACTTTTAAATAAACGGATTTTAAATAATTTCGTTTTGAGTTATTTTTCGTTAAATGAAATTCTATATTATATTAAATTTTCCGATATTTTTCGTTGATTGATATTCTATAAATTACGTTTTGCGTTGTTTTGTTTAATGATATATAATATATTTTGTTAATCGTTATGTTTTGTTTTGCGGTATTTAATTATTTACATTTACAAATTTCAATCGTTTTTTGTCAAATATGACGTTATTATAGCGTTTGCGTTTGCAAGCCCGGGAAAGAACACGTTCATATTGTCTGAACTTGACATGAATGACTTTATTTTTCAAGAAATGTTTAATGTTTTTCGTTCGTTCATTGACAAATTAATTTTTATAGACCATAGTTATATTTCTAATGTTTAGTAAGTTTAATTTATATAATAATAATACATTGGAGAAGACACTCAAGAAACTTTAAATTTCTTGAAAAGACTTTTTATTACCAAAGAAAAAACCTTGTGTACAAATAAAATTATTTTATCAAAGGTTGCCGGTTGGCATCCTATTTAATAATTTGTTCATTCTAATATCTAGTATCTATAGCCGTATAGTAGGTACCTACAATTATAAAAAATAACAACCGATTAAAAAACCAAATTCAAATTAGATGAACTTAAACTAGTTCATTTTAAAAACTATGAACTATAATTTGAACTAATTCGTATTTAATGTCTTGAACTTTAACTTGAATTAACTCATTTTTGAAAAGAACTTTCCCATCATTTAACACAATATACAGATGTATATAATTGACTAACTTGTATCATTTTATCACAGGAATGTAACATGTTGCATATTTACCATATCCTGGGTTAATGTGTTCCAATTGCTTTTTTTTACTAGTCATCATAATTATATAAATCATAAATCAATCTAATTACATAAGACAATTAAAAATTAAAAATTATTTTACTGCACCTGTTTTGTGCAAAATACAAAAAGACCAAAAGTGTATCATATTATAGCCCTATATATGATCCTCTACCTAAACCTAGTTAAATAAATAAAAACGTGTAAATGCACGATTTCCTGGAATCTAATTATAAATAATTAATTAACTGTTGAATAGTTCAACAAATATCATAATAATATATGCATTCATAATAAACATTGAAATAATTAAATAGGTACAGAGGTACTGAATAATCTGTAAATTTTTTCACACGGAATGAAAAATGAAAGAATAAAAATGTATAAAGTTTAGTGTTAGGTCCCCGCACACGATGATAATTTGTTTCGTAAATAAAATAAACGTACCTAATACTAATT